GTTTGCTTTATTATTCATGGCAGGTTCTACATGTGTCTTTGTGACACACGTCCAGAAAAGGAGCGACGCCCATCTCAAAGCAACCTTAACGGAAGAAGCCATGCTTTTCACGCACGACCTTCCTCACCCTGCGTAGGTGTGCCAGGACCGCAGAAGCCTGACGAACGGAACCGTGAACATGCCAACCAAACCTAGAAGACAACACGCCTCGTGGCTCGGGAGGACGACCAGCGTGACAGTAAGCACAGCGCCAAGCCAAATGCAGCCAGTCAGGAACGACTTCAACGTTACACCACGAGCACGATCAAAGAGACTACAAGAACGAAGAACGAACGACCAACGGTAACGGTGTCCTGATCAAAGACCAAATGGATCCAAATGGCGACAAGCCCCGGAGGTCCTCAGCGAGGAAATTTAAGATCTGCTGGTGCCACTGGACACACAAGTCATGCAACAAACGATGCGGGCCGGATTACGCCAAAGACCATAGGAGGCGGCGAAATCACGCCCACGCGTCCACCAAAGAGCACATGCAGGCCTTCCCGAGATACGACAACGCATGCTGAGCCGCAGTGAAAACCGGGTTCGTCAAATGACCATGCAGAAACTGCCAAAGCGATCTACTGGCCTGCCGAGTCGTACGAACCACCTTCTTGAGAGCGGTCACCCACGCATGGACCATTCCAGCGCATGCCACCAAGCGCCCCAAAGCAAGAAAAGGCACAACCCGCGTCCTATATACACCTTAGCCCGAAATCGCGATTCCGCCGGCAGAAGGCCGAAAAAGCCACTTGCGTGCGGCGTCGATCCTGGGAGCAGCGTCAACTGAAGAGTCCAGGGCACAAAACTAAACCGAGCGCACTCTGACAGGACCCCTGGAGATGAATGAATGCTCCTTGCGCGACCCGTTTGCAAATATTCCCCTTGTCAATGTACAGGTCATTACGACAAGTGATAAGCAGTAAGTACAGCCATACGATGTGATAAAGGCTTCCTCGGCTACCGTTAGAAAGGCAATGGCGGCAATGACATTGAGTCCTCTTTGAATCCTCCCTCATTTGACCATGTTTGAAGCCTCCTTTTATATATAACTGTTGCAGCGATCAAGGCGAACACACATGTCGCTCAACATCGAGTTGGGACAACTTTCAGCTGATTCTTGGGATTTTCAAGGTCGGACAAGACTTTTTGGCGCTAAGCCTGAACCTTACCGACCTTGAAGTAGGAGCAATCGCACCAGTGGTTGACCCCTTCTAAGCAGCCCAAGGAAGTCAGGAATCCACTTGCGAGGAAGCATTCAATATGGCCCGCCCACGTTAGGCCACGCAGGGAGCCCAATCGTTAAAGCCCAATCCAACCCGTTCAGTGGAGCCTGCAGCAGCTCATAGCTTTGTTGTTGGAGGAGCTGGAAGGCTTTGACCAAACCTGGCGACCGCAAAGCTCTGCTGTGAGACACATGACAGTGCTTGGGACCGAGAGCCGAAAGTGAGGTGACTCACGGGGTGTGCAGGGTATATGCGGGACATGCTTTTTGGAGTCAGGGCATTAGTATGATTGTTATATATGAATATATTTAGGCCGAGGTAAGCTAGTAGTAGTCATTAAGTAAGAAGCTACTAGCGAACGGACGCAGGATATTTCACGCTTCTTCAAGGAAGCTGCCCCCGCCGCAAGAAAGTGTGGCGGTGGTTCACACTTGGGATGCACTAGAAAGCAATCTACACAAATTACACAGCAATTTTGGGGTGGACATGTGCAGGAACGAAACATGTGCGCAATTGTGACTCAATAGTTGGATCTATGGCCACAACTTGCAGCCTCGCAAATGTCCCACCTGCAAGATGACCCTCGAACAAATCGCTGGCATCCTTGGTGGCGCGATAATTTCCAGGAAGTCTGTTTAGCGGCATTCCCTGGCACCAAAAATGCTTCGCAATGCTAGCCTCCCGCAAACCTAAAATACCCCCCACCTGGTAGAGGTAAATAGTCTTCCAAACCCTCTTGACAGGGCCTGTGTTTCTGTGGGGGTGTATCCGGTCCGAAATTGCAGCTTCTTCAACACGTCCATGCATTCAGCAGTTGGGCAATGAATGCAAAGCTCGGAAACTGAGTCTAGTCCAGGGGCAAGTGACTCACACCATGAACATATCCGCGCAAAGGCCCTCCGCACTCTTACTTGTCCATCCCAAACGAACGGCCGAGGTTCTGCGAAGCGTTGCTCAACACTCACCGTCTCCCGGGGATCGCCTGGAGATCTTGAGCGGATGTGAAGGGAGTTGATCCCCAACAGTCACAGGGAAGAGTGGCGATCATATGCAGCTGCAGTGGGAGCAAGGACGCTATTAGAAACAAGTGCATCGCTTCTAGTAACAAGTGCCTTACTAGTAGTAACAAGAAGCTATTAGAAACAAGTGCCACGCTAGTAGTATAATCATGGAACATGCAACCCTTCCACTTGAGAAGAAGCATTCAATACGTGGTTGGGGATTCTGGACAGAACCAGAACCTTCTACTCGCACAATCCAAAAAAGGAACATGAGTGATGGAACAATAGGACATGGACGATCAGGTTTTGTGTCTCCAACATGTTCTTGCTGGTCTTCAGGGGTATCAGTGGAAAGTGATCCCCCATCAGCAATGCAGGTGTTGCAAACATGATGTCCTTCTGCAAACTGCAGGAGCCTTCCGATAATTTTGTCAGATGCTCATCTCCAGCCCCCTGGCAATTAATCACTTGAAGGAGACAACCCATGAGGACTTGGTCGTGATGACTTGCCAAATTGTCAACTAAACTCTAAACCATCCTAAACCTAAACTATCCTGAATGTACTTTCTTGTGGATCCCTTAAAAAGTTGCGCTTTCAGATTGGTGATTTGCGACGTTGAAAGCGTCCCAATGTGAATCATGTAACATGTGATTGCACATCCTATGCCGCCTATGCCCAATCAAAAAATGACAAAATTGATCAGGCTGCGAACATGAGCGACGACGCGAAATGAAAGGCTCGCGTGCCTCCACCGTCCTGCGGGGCCACTGTGCCAAGCGGGCTCTAGAGAGTTGCCTTACAAAAAGTGCTCTTTCAGAGATCCTCTACGGACATCTTAAGGAATCTTGCACCAGGATATTCGAACAAGATCCTCTCACGGGAGCTTGGTAGTTGTAAAAATGCAGATGGATATCTTGTAACACAGCTCCAAGGTTCAATTCAAGAATGAGTTAGATGTCTTGAATAAGTTTTGTGACACAACCCCCGCACGCACTTTTGGCCTTGCCTGAGTATGTTCAAGTTGACCGGGCAACCCAAAAGCATTGCATGTACAACGTATAAGTTCATGGAGAGAATAGCCAAAACCTAGGGGTCGAACAACTTGCTCCCTAAAGGCTCTTGAAAAGGAACGAGGGCTTGAGTGAGTGGCAAATATGCTCACCGAACCTTATCAAAGCTCTGAGTTCTTATGAGCTCGTTTACATGGTAGTATTTGTCAGGACTCTCCAGTCTGAGCAAACTCCAAACCACAGCACTCCAGCTCCAAAACCAAAGAATCCTACTTGTTGGAAGGTCCACGAATGAAATGCACATCTACCTACATCTAGCTCAATCAAAAGCAAACCTGGAAAAAAGCTCTGGAAACTCCTAGTATTGGGCCAATGCATCATATTTTCGACAATTGACACACCGAACTCGGTGATGATCATGATATTATTGGAAGCAAATCTACCTTTCCCCTCATCTTCCCCTTGTCCTGACTTGCAAGCTTTGCAACAGGGGCCGGCATGATCCCAAATGCTGGAGGCTGAAGGAAGCGAATAAGCCGAACGGCACTCCCATGCATTGGTCGGGAAAATCGTTGTGCCACTGAGATTCATTGAGGTCCCAAGGAGTTGTCATGCATGTCACTATATATCACATTGGATACCGAATATCCCGGCTTAATCTTCCAAAGCTGAACATCATCGACACTTGGCCACCACATTTGGGGCATGGTTGGCGGCTAAGAGTTGTCACTTTCGCGGAAGTAGGAAAACAAACCAGGCTAGGTCAATATACATTATATGTATATATATATATATATGCACATGTGGTTCAACAAGTTGAGATGCGTGCGATACTTTATGCACACTGAAACGGATTCTGGACATGTGACCAAACTCCAAACCCACGAGTATTGGACACTTTGAACTGGTGTACTTAATAATTACTGATATTGCTGGAGCCAGGGCCCAGGGCTCTTTGGCAGGTTGCATGTCTTGATTATTGGATGGTTTAAAAGGTTCAGAAAGGCAATGTTGTTGTTCTCTCTGCAAGGATGCGTTTGAGACACCACCTCCTCTCGAGGGGGATGCCTCAGCTAAGGCAACTGCTCAAGTTTGAATTAAACAGCGACAACAGCGACGAGCACGACGGGTGCGGGCAAAACGACAAGGATCACCGCTCCTGGAGAATTCGGAAGTCCATCGGAACCTCAAATAATTGCTTTTTCACAGAATTGGATCCTAGATTGAAAAACATGTATAGTATAAACAATCATACACATGTTGCAACAATAACAAGTGCTGAGGGACCTTCCAACTACCGTAGATACTTTTCGAAGCTAGGCAGCGACCCTCCGATCGCAGAAATCAAATAAGTCCACCAGGCAAACCCAGTGGGTTTGCTTCGCACTTTTCCGGATATAGGCATCACAAGTTCGAAATCGACATCTTGATCTGGAGTCTCAAGGGCAACGAGGTATGCTGCATGTTCATGGATCCTCTGTGGAATGGATGATGAATCTCTGGAATCTTGTGCTATGCCACACAGCCGTACCTTTTTATACCTTTTTGGAAAACATCCTGCAGCACTGCAGCACCAGTGAGATTGGACCCATAGCAACCCTGGTGGATCATGGTGAGGCTTCTTGGGTGGGTCATGTGACGATAGGTCTCCAATGATTGCCGTTTGGGCTGGAGGGTCTTCGGTTGACACCCCTAGGACATGCTATACCCTCCTTTGGTGGCTGCCAGATGTTTGGAGAACACTGATTCTTGAACACATGCTAAAACACCAGTCCAATTATGTCCAAATCATCTACATTTGTCGCCTGCCAGTTTCCAGACCCCGCCTATGTACAATTCGACGCCACCACCTCGGGAGGAACCAAAGGAGGCAAGCCACGGGGACTACAGTATCCTAGAAACAGGACTCATGTTGGATATTGTTGGAAACAAGTGCATCGCTTCTAGTAACAAGTGCCTTACTAGTAGTAACAAGAAGCTATTATTGATTTAGTTTAATTTAATTCTAATAGCTTTTTGTTACTACTAGCAAGGCACTTGTTACTACTAGCGTGGCACCTGTTACTATTATCACCCAAAGAGTAGGCATCTGTGAAATCATCATCGTCTAGAAGGTCATGGATGGTGTGGACCCGGTAGCCCTTGGAACTTGCTCGAAGATGCCGCTACAAGTCACGGGTGGGCGACGTTTGATATTATGCGAATAGCCCAGGCAAATAGGCAAATCACAGGCCACCGCGCCAGCTGAATGCTGACCGGTGTAGTTGTACATCACGGTCACCATCACCGAAAAATGGTAGCCACATATCCTTCCCATATATAGGTATGGATCTGATCGGAGCTAATCGGCTCATTTAATCCAAGTTCCATTGCAGGCAGGACCATCAGCTTCTAGTCAAACACGACCAAATTCAATGTTCCCAATACGACCATGGGTCTTTGAATGATTTTCCGTTTAAACTACTGTAGTTTAACTAGGCCTCATTATCCCATGTCAATCCCCAATTGAAAACGGCTAATGTCCATGTTTAATAACCTGTGCCATCCCTCGAATGCTTAAGTCCTTGTTTTCTTCAGCTTGACTCACTTTACTTGGGCACCCCGCTGGTCACATCGAAGACAGCCACACTTAACTCGCTCAACAAGGCCTCGAGCTCCGCACAAGTGGGACGGGAGTGAACGTGACTTGGTTGCGAGTCGCACATTGAGGATTCTCTTAGTATGACTTAGCCGGATTGTGTCAGTGAAGTAGTCATGCGTTTCTGGTAACTCCGGCCACCCCAGAAACATCCCATGTTCCTGCTGTTCTTGGATCAATATGGCCCGGGTGACTAGTAGATCCCCGGAATCCACTTCAATCGAAAAGGGAGACTGGTATGTAACAAGGAAGTGAGGCACTGTTGTTGCCTGGGACCTTAGACTCGGACTTCAATCATCAACCTAGTTGAGAATGAGTAGTGTCGAGTCTAGATCAAACTGTGGTACCTACCTCTACCCCATTCACCTGGTACATCCTATTTACTGTATAAGAGGCGGGGAGTATGCTTGGATGGTATGCTAAGGATAATCAATCCACAAAGATATACATTGCCAGGGGATTGCAAAGATTCCTTATATACAGTAAGTGAAACGGCCTTTGGAATCCCAAAACCTTTTGATTCGTGAGTGGTGTTGCCATTTGCGCCATCTATGTTGCCCTTCATGGCTTTCGCTTTGCTAACTTTCCTAGCAAGACCGCTCTCACCTTAAACAATTATGCCAGCATAGACTCCAAACAGTTTCAAAACGATTCGTTCGGACCGATATTAGTCAAAAACGATTTCTTGGTACGCCCTACCTTCCCCCCAAGAGCAAACTGCTTTATCAATGATTTTTGTCGGCATCGACATCGCTGATTGTTCGGCCACAAGAGAAGAGCAGGACAAGAGACGACAAGGGGAGGACAAAACCCGGCCACAGAGCCGGGCCACAGAGCCCGGCCACAGAGTTCAGGGGCGCGGCCAGTGAGTGTGGCCAGCTCTTTTTTCAAAGATAGAAACCCAACAGTAAACTGTTTGGGTAAAAAAACCTTTCACAGAAACCACTCAAAACACGTCATTGGAAAGGAGGCTAGCCAGGCTTGCACCATCTACTGCCGTGCTTGTTGCTTTCAGGGCGAAACAAATATAGCGGTTTCAGACGAAACTGAATGTAAAGTAGATGGCGCCAAACTCATTGAACAATGCTTCAACTGGCTGTTATTTGTTATGTGTTTCGCCTACCACGGCTTGAGCCATGTGCATCTTGCCTTTGGGGTTCGAAAGACCTTTTTGCCTGCAGAGTTGATGGCTCAATCCAAAAATGTTGGCCATGTATTCTGCGGGAGGAATATAGCCCGATAGTGGACCCCCAATAAGGACTTAGATATATTTAGAACATGACTGATGACATGTGCTTCTCGACGTCTGTCTTTGCCCCCTGGACAGAAGTGCACCTATGAAGCAGGGCGTTCATGTCCAGTTTCTTCCAATCATGCAGCTTTCCAAAAAAATGAAAACGCGGACAGCAGTCAGCATTAAACAAAGGTAACGTTTACTACTACGTTTACTTTGCTTCTAGGAACAAGGACGCTACTAGGAGCGAAGGGCACCGCTAATAGGAGCAAGAAGCTACTAGGGGCTCCTGGCATCGCTACTAGGAACAAGAAGCTACTAGGGGCTCTGATTCCCCTGAGGGGGGGCGACTGAAACCGGATTTCGTGCCATCGCCTGGCCAAGGAATTGTGGACGACAAATCGACTGTTTTGGGCACAATCCAAAACCGCAAATAGTATATGGTGCGGACATGCCTTATTATATACAGTATATATATTATATATTAGATACAAATATATAGTTACAAATGTCTGATCATCTGCACAGTTTTATTAGATAGGTACAGTATCAAGTCCAGTTCCAAGAGGATTATATGCCGATTTTGGTAGCTGAACACATGTCGTAAATCATCCACTCCATGTCTGTGGTTCAGTTCTCACCGGTCCACCTTCATAGAAGCGATGCACTTGTTCCTAGTAGCTTCTTGTTACTCATGAAAATAATACAAACACCCTCAGACTAGGGATGTCCATCTATCAATGGTTCCGGGTCCGACAAGTTGTACACACTCATATTGTACTGGTCCCTGCAAAGAACTCTTTTCTTGTGCTCAGGTTTTAACACATTGATGATGATTGTGACGATGACTGTGCGGTCCGGACATGCGTCCCCAGGACATAGAAGAGGAAATCGCTAAATGCCTGTACATCCTCCGAGGCGAACGGCAGTGTCGCGTCCGCTGGGTGGCCACATGCGTCATATGTGGCCTTTGACGCCTCCTCCCAGCCTAGCCTAATCAAGTGTGCAATGGAGTGTGCAATGGAGCAAACTATGTAACTAGGAACTCAAAGGTGAGTTAAGTTTCCCCAAACATCTAGGAATAGTGCGTGAGCTGTCCTGCGTCCAGTTGCTAGTAAGCTTGCTAGGAATGTGTTGGTGCTTACCTAATTACTCAACACTGATACCAAAAGCACCTCGACTCCTTTGATGTAGATCTTTTAAGACGATCATTCTACAGGCGGAAGGGATTGCAATCAGGAAGCCTCTGAAGTTAGAGGTGAGGTTCAAAATGGTTCAAGCAAAAACATCAAATGGGTAATCAACTCGGAAGATCCCTAAAAGGCACTTATTAGCCTTGCGATGTTCAGCTCTTCATCCTGACAAACCATTAATTTGTTACGCCAAGAAGCCAACACCGGTGATGGTTTCTCATGTTTGTTCAACTGGAATTGCAGTCAGTTCAGTCTGGAATTAACCTTGCTACTACAGCTGTCAGTTTGTTGAAATGTTGATTCCCAAAGGGCATGGCCCTTTGAGTGAGTCTCCACGTCCGTCCAGGATCCGGAATCTCGTGTACTCAATTGCCCAGAATTCATGATTGGAATCCTCCTGTGTGGTGAAGCACCTAAGTTGACCATGTCTCATGCACAAATAACATGCCACTTTGGAGGGGCATGATGACCCAATTACACATCTTAAGGGACATACACCGGATTCGATGTTAGATATTGACAAAGGCTTGGTGAAATGCATTTTGTGGATTTGGTGGATTGCTCAGGTCTAAGCAATGAACATGCATGCACGGTAGATCCATGCAACTCCAACATGACGTCCACCTTGCTCTCCCTCTCTGCCGCCCTCTCCTCCCCCACACGGCTGTTACTCCATTCAGGATGAGCTTGGAGAACTGATGCCTGCGAGACGGCGTCGGTATTGGCTTTCCTGAATAGAACACGGTCACGAAGCACAGAAACAGAGTCTGGGCTCTTGACTGTTGATCTAGATCCGTGATGAGTGTACTGTTTCCTCTCGTTGCTCACTCATTCCACATCTATCACCCGCTTAAAGTCAGCTCATCCGGCGACTCATCCCCACAAAGGAGAGTATGCCCTGCTTATGTCGTAGTTTAGATTCATTCATGGATTTGATTAGAGTACCAGCAACCGTGAATGGCCAACACCGCAAACGGTGCCGTGAACCCCTGTCCACTCCTCGATGGTGCGTTTGAGGTTCAAGGCAGTGTCTTTGAGGCTGTCTGAATCGCTGCCCAAGTAAGACCTGGCTCGTGCGGCGTCACCTTCTGCGAGATTCGACGGTCATGGTCGTCATCGGGTGTGCAGGTTCAAGGGGAGTGGTGACAGAACTTCATCTACGTTGTATATGTTATATTGAATGAATGGGAGCTGTAGACACGTCTAGTGTGTTCTTCCCCTTTCAGTGACATGAAAGAATATAGCCAAGATTAGCCAAGTCTGTGAAAAAGAATATATGCACCAATCTTAATCTTGTGTACGGGCGACTGGCATCTTCGGTCTGGCGTCATCCTATGTCACCAATAGACCACTCTTCTACTCCTCCTTTACATCTTTTTGGATAAGCAAATCCCCTTTTCCTAAAACCGATTCACATGGATATCATGCGATTTATCCTGAAACCTACAGTAAATCAGTGGGGTACACCTCTGATATTTTGGAGCGAAGGGATGGCTGGCCTCACAACTTCCTGATCAAGGACAACCTTCCAAAGAAATGGACACCCTGTAGGTTTTCATTGAATTTCCTGAATCTTGACTACACGAGCTCCACCACAAATCACAACAAAGTCTTCCCGAAGGCCCGAAGGCCACAACGCACCCCAAACCTTGCAAGTGCCAGGTAGAAGCATTGATTGAAGATGTCCTTCCATGCGCGACCGAAGGACATTCAATCTTGGCCACGGAATGGCCTTTAGGATACCTTTTTTTCATGCTGACATTGTCTATATATATATATATTGCTCATGGCCCAGGCCCACGCGCTTCCAAACGAATCCAGGGCTTGCAAACCTTTTGTCCTCTGCACCATACATCTATCGAATACTTTTCAGCATGTCTGATCGGTGTGGTTGAACTCGGATTCCCTCGCAAAACAATAGTTGTTGACTCAAAGCAAGTCCCCCAAGAAAAGGTAGGGAAAAGGACCAATAGCCAAAGAGAATTGCGAGGTAGGTAATGAACGACACCCGCGTTGCATGCGCCTAGCAAATGCTTATAACAGTACACAAGCGAACATTGCCCTGCAAAAGAACACCTGAAAAACATCGAACGTTGGTCTAGTTCAAAAGCTGAAGGGTGAACGCGATCAGTTTGTTGAATTACGCACAAAAACACTTCCCCAAACCCTGTCCGTCTTCCTCCCCGCGCTCGTTCTGATTCACCGCGCCCAGGTTCTTTGCACGGAGCCCAAGCTCATCAAGAGCCTGGGTCGACCAATGCAAGTGCTCAACAAATGAATAAGAACAGTGCTTTTGTGGCAGGGCAGTTCTTGTCTGTCACATGCTCAAGCTGATCTTTGGCTAAGCGGCTAAGCTTTCCTTTATGACTTATGATCTTTATACTGCTACCTGGAATCCCGTTGGCGAACAGTACGGTTTATGTAAATCCACCACGCAACAAGGGGCAAGAAGGCGCATAAAGCTTGTTCTACGTGTGTTCTGGCTGGAAGAACTAGGGGCCCAAGGTCTTTGCTGGGACTGCAGGCACCATCTTGTGTATATTAATATGATTTCGGAACATAACAGTCGAGTCTCGGTTGTTTGAGCACTGTTTGCTCTTTCACCTCCGACTATGCCATCTCGCGACATCTGTTGGTCGAGCGCCTGCGCTTGCCTCCTCAGTGACTGATCCAAGTCCACACCGTCCTGCACCGAAGTCACTCGGGTGTTCAAAACGACGTCGGTGTTGAAAAAGAACCTGATGCTTCAATCAAACACGTGTTCTGCAAAGAACTCAAAAACGTGCGGAATGGAATGAAAACTCCTGAGTTTGAGTATAGGATACCCTTGCCTCCTGTTCTCAACATGTTTAAGAAGATTCGTCATTGGTTCAGAGAAGTGATCGTTGAGTTGCTTGTGATCATCGCTGGATTGTTGCAAATAGATGAACCTCATTTCAATTGAGGCTGCCACCTAAACCCAGTGCCGGATAGATAAGGTTTAATAATGTTACTGTTAACGAGTATTATCACATTAATGTATGTTCTTATGTATAAACCAATCATGGCAGGCTTCAGTCGTCGCTCCTTGTTGCGCTGCCAGCTGGGCGAAATCCGCATTGCCACCTGTACCACCTGATGTCACCTGGTTCTATAGAGTTGATCCCTAGCCCTAGCTGGTCCACTCCCCTGTATATTATCCTTGCTGCTGTCTCTCAAACGCATGGATATCAATCGATAGTTCATGATAGTTCCAAAATTGGACTCATTGACATCCACAGCAGGAAGGACAGGAATGAGTTTTGTAGGACATGGATCAATGAGTATTGCTTGAACATTCTACCGCATCTGTCAAAATTGTCTTAGTTCATCTTGATTGACTCAGGTTGAAGTAAAAGGAAACTGTGAACACCTGCAGCCGTAATTCCCAGCGTCTCCTTTTCAAAGAGTTCACGCACCAACGCCTGTGATCAGTCTTGCATGTCTGGGCAGCTGAGTGTGGGAGGGATAATGTGATGTGGGTCACACGTTCTGTCCGGTGAACATTCCCCCAAAAATGAAGCGAGCAGAGTGTGGTCTTGCGACCGATCTTTATACAAATCTTCATCTATATGCCATGGTTTGTCATGCTTTGACTCCGGGGCCGGCCGGGCCAGTACATCAAAAAGACTCTGAAAAAGTCCCATGAAGTGACGTCATGCGTTGGATTTGACACCCAAGACTGACGACCAAAAGGGTCCCTTCAGAGACGTTAGACCTGGGTTCTGCAGGACGGAGGGAATCACCCAAAATGTAGTAATCCTAGAGTTAGACGGAACCTTAGCACTATCCCCTAAGGGATACTGTCAGATTCGGTCATGTGTCATTTACATGACAATGCAGTAAAGTGCTCCACTTGTCGTCTGTCCAAAACTCTCACTGTTCAAATACAGTAGATAACCAGTGATTCCAAAGCAACTTGCTGCAATGGTCCCGGGGACAGGACACTGAAAAGTTGGCTTAGACTGGGTCATGAGACTTCGGCCGTCGCAGGAGTTTGGATCAAACAGTTGACATGTCTAACAGATTCCTGGTAGAAAAGGTTGACTGGAGATTTGAAGTGTGCAAATTGATCGATTTCAGTGAACCGTTGCTAGTCACATCATGGGAGAATGGGCAGCCTTTCGTTCAACATTGAAGCTGATCCATTTGTGGTCAGATGTAGACTTCCTTGCTGAAACACCTATGTCAAACCAGTGTGATTGGGTTTAGACTCGGCCAAACAAAAAACACACAGAGAGCCATAGAGATCTCCTTGGACAAACAAACATGCATCTTGTCAAGACTACATCCAGCCGTTCCAATAGCTCCACTGTCACATAGTTTGCCCTGACACAAACGAGCAAATTGTGCACAAAACACAGTTCTGGTAAACACTATTAGACTATATATACATATATGCGGAACAGGTAGCCAGAATATGTGTCTGGGAGATCCACTGCACATCCACTCGGCAGCCTGATGATTTCGGAGTTGGAAGTCGTTCTGAGGTGCCTGACTGGCTGCTCCAGTGAAACAATGCGGAAGCAAGAGGCCGTCAGCCAAAAAATCACAGAACAATAACTTGAGGCTGGCGGGGTGAATGAAAGCTAGCCGCTAGCCACTGCGAAGCAAGAGCGACTCCAGCTAGCTGAGGCTAGCTTTCGTGATCAGTGGTGACTAGGTGAAGCAATTTCATGAGCCACCATGCGGATTCTTCTCCACAAATCCCCGGCGAATGTTGGGTAGGGAGTCTATACAGGCAATTCATAGAGAAATGGTGTCTATAAAGTGCCTACCCAAACAAAAAAAGCATGATGAGATGCCAGGATAGACTAGACATGTGCATAAAATGCCTGGATCAACATCCAAGCATGGATGACACAGCCTGCAAAAAGCTGTCAGCAGGAGTTCTATAAAATGCCAACCCTGACTTCTCAAGCAGAAAGACACTTGACAGACACTATAAATTGCAAAAGTCGGGGATGTGAATGACCTTAGTGTAAGTACAGATTGCCATCTACAAAATGTAGATTGCAGTGATCAAGAGTTGATCAACAGATGAATGGTGGAAGGGACGAGAAGGGACAAGAGAAACATACCAAACCTCTATGAAATGCCTTTGTGACATCATAGCAAAAAGAGCAGCTGCCACTATAAAAAGCCCATCCAGGCAAATGATTGCATCATCCACATGTCAGCCTTCCCTTCTATAAAATGTTCAGACTGACACACTTCTAGTGTGCAAAGTTGCTGCAACCAATCTGTGGCACCAGAGGTCTCTGTAAAATGCCCTCTGGACATCTTCGACAGTATTGAGGCACCTAGCTCTCTATAAAATGGGTACCCAAAAGGCATTTCATAGAGGATAGAAATGTTATGAGATGGGCATTTCATAGAGCACCATTCACCCGGGATCTCCACAATGCCTTTTGGGCATTGGCTGGTGAAGGTGATGAGGATGAAGAGTCTGAGGCCCCTTTGCTTGGAAGGGGGGAGGGGTGAAGGAAGCAATAATGTGGATTGGTGCCATGGCTGCATTGGTGCCATGATGAGTGGCCTGGTCCATGAAGAAGATGATGAAGGATGAGATCATCCAATCATGGATGGGCGTCATGAGCGCGTGGGCACCATTGAGCTGAGGTTGCAAAAGAACACGACTCTCGACTCTCGTCTTACAAGGCAACGGCCACGTTGGGAACTGAGCTGAGGCTATCTTTCGTGATGACAGGAGATGTTTGATTCTTTGGAAGTCCAAAAACTTCAAACACAGGCTACTAGTAATGCCAGGAGCTACTAGCAGCGTCCTTGCTCCTAGTAGCGATGCCCTTTGTTACTAGTAGCGTCGTTGCTCCTAGTAGTAAGGCCAGGAGCCCCTAGTAGCGTCCTTGCTCCTAGTTGTCCAGCTTTCTGCCGTCCTAGTTTCATGCTCGACCTTAGTTCCTCAAACTTCCGAGGGAGATAAACTTAAACACTTCAGGGTGCCCGTGAGCAGCTATCCAGCTGCTTGTGACAATATACGCAAACCACCAGTAGTTGCCAAACCTAGCTTTGAAAAGTGCGGCCTAGATTTGAAAACCCACTTGATCATAACGCAGCCACTTCCAGCAAAAGGCACGGCTCGTAGAAGACTTGCGGATTGTGCTTGCTAGACTACTAATTAGCTTGCCAGTAATTATCAGGTTAGGGGCTGCTTGGCCATTCTGAGCACCGGCTCCCAACCTTCTGGCCCGGATCAGGTCTAACCAAGGACCGCTCATATCCACTCCCAAGGAGGTGATGTTGCGAAAGGGTGTGAAAGAGAAATCTGCCAAGTCGGAGGTTCGGTGCCGAAGACTCGTCTGATTGGAAGGGTTTTCAGGGCTTCTCAAGGTCCGAACGACTGGATTGCAAGGACAAACATTTGACAAAGACGACGAGGGCCAAGCCTTCAATTGAGTATACAAGAAGTGGTAAGTAATTAATATACTTGAATGTCATTTGGATCTGATCAGCAGTCGGTTCAATCATTGTTCAACACCTGATCTCACAACGTTCCCAGCTTTGTCGGTTTTAGACACGTGAAAAGTTCTAGCTCCTCACTACGGCTGTCAAAACACTCTGCATCGCAAAATCGACGGTATAAACAATAATTTGAAACAAAAACAAAATACCAGCCTCAGGTAGACCCCGGCAGGTGGTCACCTGTCAAAGTCACGCATGACTCAGATCCGGCCAAAGCTGCTGGAAATTCAACAGAACTGTCTTCTGCAAAAAAAATACTTTGCAGCAGGATTGTCTTGTCTATGTTCCGCTGCTTCGTTTTGCATTTCCATTCAAGGGAGTCCTCGTTCCGAGTTAGCTTAGGTGTCCTGGGTGTTCAAAGCCATTAGGTCCGTAGGTGATGCCAGTAGGACGTGCAGCTCACACACCACCATGGCTTCCTCCAAGACCAAACATCATGGAGGGAGAGACCCGTCGCACGGGAAACAAGGAACTCGGGGACCCGAAGAACACACCGGATCCAACAAGCGCCTCCAAGGGGTTCAGCTTGCTCGTGAGTGTCAAGTACCTTGGCCAACATTGTGGAATGCAAAGTCGCATAGCTCTCCAACGTAATGGGGCCATCGCAACCCGAAAGACTCTGAAAGACCCGTACACATCCTGCGATCATCTGCGATCTAATGCGTTCGAAATCCTACAGGAATGCTTCCTGCCTTGGCCTTGGACCTTGATCTTCTGACACTGCAGCGCACTGCAGGGTGGTAAAAGGTATATAAGTCCCCTCGTAACCTCGCATCCTGATGCCTATAATCCACGGTATACGGTATACTACTGTACAAATACTCCAGTTCCAGCCATTCGATGACTCCCACAACTGAACCCCACCGGTTCGGATTGACACAAAGTTCCATCGCCACTGGTCAAAATATGTATGAATGTGACTGTGTGTGTGCGCGTCGAGACTTGTTCCATTTAACATGTAGGCCAAGTGACGCGTCTCGGATCTTGCTGAAGGTTTCGGAGTCGCCACCTCTTTTGAAACCGGAGTAGTAACAAGAAGCTACTAGGAACAAGTGCCTCGCTTCTAGTAACAAGTGCCTCGCTTCTAGTAACAAGTGCCTCGCTAGTAGTAACAAGTGCCTCGCTACTAGTAACAAGTGCCTCGCTAGTAGTAACAAGTGCCTCGCTAGTAGTAACAAGTGCCTCGCTACTAGTAACAAGTGCCTCGCTACTAGTAACAAGTGCCTCGCTAGTAGTAGCAAGTGCCTCGCTAGTAGTAACAAGTGCCTCGCTAGTAGTAACAAGTGCCTCGCTAGTAGTAACAAGTGCCTCGCTAGTAGTCACAAGTGCCTCGCTAGTAGTAACAAGTGCCTCGCTAGTAGTAACAAGTGCCTCGCTACTAGTAACAAGTGCCTCGCTACTAGTAACAAGTGCCTCGCTAGTAGTAACAAGTGCCTCGCTAGTAGTAACAAGTGCCTCGCTAGTAGTAACAAGTGCCTCGCTAGTAGTAACAAGTGCCTCGCTAGTAGTAACAAGTGCCTCGCTAGTAGTAAC